ATTGGGACTTCATGAGAATTAGAAAGACAAGCTTACCGCCGTTTCGACGAACTGCAGGTGTCTTTCCGTATCAGCTTGATACATTGGAAGGCATCCATCGCTTGGACAATTTTGACTCGGTCGACAAGATTTGAGATAGCAATATAGGTACCAGAGTGACTTGCTCCGTCACTGGATTAAGAAAATAAATATTTTTGTGTTTGTAGCAAAATTCTTGTAGAGATCTCCACGCAGACCTTAAAACACTGAATTATAACCACGAGAGTGACGGTGTTAATCACCTGCTAATATCCAGTGACACGTGTTTACCTGCACACTTCAATGACAGGTCCATTTACATTAGCAGCTCTCTGTAAATCTTCAACTTCAGATAAAATTTCCACCATACTGTGAACATATTTAAGAACATCATGAACCGGCCACGATATTTCATGAATCACGGAGCATACGATCTTTTTTATATCCTAAGAAGCAAAAAATAAATAAATGTAGCAAATTATTTAATCATAAAAACACGAAGGAATAATCAAGAGGAGAAATCCACTTATTTATTCTGCAAAACAATAAGGAATATAAGGAAGGAACATTAATTAAGATAAAGCAAACATTTAAATAAACCCAGTAGCGTAACCAGTCTGCAGGTTTACTCCGCTTTGTAAATTTTGAAGGACTAGCGATCATAAATTTGGTAATCACAAATTAACTTTTAGTTTGTCTAATTAAAAGTTAATACACAAGAAGTATTTTTTAGAAATCTATTGTTCTTACGGTTAGTAAACACAAAAATATTTGCTGCAACTGGGTAAACCCACCATTACTATTGCACATTTAATAAATACGACGGGTTTTTTTAAAGAAGCATTTCGCATTAAAAAAACTAATCGTAATCTCAACGTTCGCGTTTTTCGTTTAACACTATATTCAGCCTGTAAATACACTCATAAATTAGTTCCAACCAGTATTTCATTGTAATATTTACAATCTAATGATAATTGTATAACTGCATTACATTACTCTTATATAAAATTATCATGCATATACATAATATTCTTATTATACTGAAGATGCCATCATGAGATGTTGAAACACATTTATTTAAAGAAACTCGTCGTATTTATTAAATGCGAAAAATATTTGCATAGCAAGAGTAAAGTCGGGCTGGCTACGCTACTGAATAAACATATACGTATGAACTTTGTACGAAAGAGAAATGTAGTGATTTATTTGCAACCAATTATCTAAAGCAGAGATATAAATATGTTTATAAAAATTTCTTTTTATCCGAATGATTCTGACTTTTCTCTTATAGAAACGTATTGATTGTAGGCACGTGTTTCTGATTTTTCCTTTAAGATAATGAATATTTTATTGTTTTATTTCAGGTATGTCTAAGCCAGTAATTGAATGTTCAATTTTCTTTAATGATGAGCAAATGGTGTAAAAGCACAACAAAGAAGTATCAAAAGACCAGTTGCTAAAAATCATATCTTTACACAATTATAAAAGTAAATAGTATGGAATGAAGATACTGGACTGGATTACTTTGACTTTAATTTTTATATACAGCTATACAACCATTGTAATTATACAAAAAATCACTCTACACAAATACTGGAACACATAATGTCTTAAGTTTCAACATCAGATCACTTTTTAAAGGACACTAATCACAAGACAAAAATATGTTAAAACTTTTTACATTGATCATATCAGATAAGGCGACTCACAATTTTGATACCTGGAATTCAATTCTAAGATTCACTTCTTGAAGACATCAAATATAAAACCACAGATCATACGAAAAACTTTTTGATCTACATATCAAATTGCCTGTGATTCTTGGTTTTTGAATTTATTTGTATAATTGTAATTTGGAGAAAGTACAACGTATAATTCTAATTTAATTCGATGCCACATTAGGAAAAAATAAAAGAAAGAATACGAATAGCACACAAATACAGGCAAGGAGAATATTTTGCCGTCTGCTGAGTCTTTGTTATTCGCCATTGTCTCAAATCATGAGATATGATCACGAGAAAACATGTCTCAAATCATGGTAACTAATGATTGTCAATTTCAAAAGGTCAACTTAACGCCAACGAAGTACAAAGTGAAAAAAAATATAATGAAATATTTAAGAGCTCACAATTGATATTGAAAAGGAAATCAATACCTTTTTGAGGACAAAATTTCGCCCGTAACCACAACACTATCCAACTTTTTACAATCCGCCATATTACATGACATCAGTAAACTCTTGAAAGTTGAAACACAGGGTACTTCCGGTTATGTGTAAATGTGACGTATAAACCGGACATACTCGTGAGAGGGTCGGATATGTTTTCCGTGACTATAGCCTGATTCGCTGTTTCGCACAAGTCTTCAATACCCTCATAAAGATATCTTCATGTTTCATTGTAATTGCTCTGTATTTCTACATTTGTAACAAGTTGATATTTTCCGAAATTAAAGCATAATTCGAAAGCAAATGTAAATATGGCCGCGTTTAAACAGAGAATAATCTTTCGGTGGTGTTCAGGCCGGTGTAGAAACACGAGGAGAGGGGTTAACAACAGACTATTCATTAACGATTTGATTGTCACCAATTAACTTGAAACCACTCGGCTCCTTCCATAGTATTCAACCAAAGGACGTGTTTTCAATCGAGCTTTCTGACACATACATTTTTCATGTTTTTTAAAATCTCGAGTCGATGCTTCCAACCCATTACTTCTTCTTCGTTAATCACTAATCTACAGCCGAAGTACAACGTTCCTAGCACTCTCGCATTTAAATCATCAGGAAATTCAATTAACTCGATAATTTTAGATATTTTTTATTAATATCATCATGACGATAAGAAGAGAAAACAAGAAATGACAAGAACATGCTTTAAAGTACCATTTTTTAACACTGACAAAGTTGGTAACAAAGTAAACTCCATCCTCTAAAACTTCCTGTTTCCTACATCAGGTAAATTAATGAGATGACAGTGCGCACATTTCATACATATTCCACTAACTCCAAAATACATGAATGTATGAAAATCCCCTCCTCTCATTAAAATAAATTACAGAGCATGCTACGCCACTGTTTGTTTCTAATTTAACTTTATTTCTTATTTAATGTATTTAGATAAAAAGTATTACAGCCGTTATCCTATTTAAAATATTGACTACATCTTTAGTCTAAAAATTTGATGTTATGTTCCAAATTGCTTTCAAATACTGTTCTGAAACATTCACTCCCGTTCACTCTTATAGTTAAAAAGGCAATAAAATTTATGTTTAATTATATTCTTTTATAGTACGCTAAATTTCAGAAAACGTCTAATAACTTCAAGAAAAAAATTCAACTTTCCCCCCTTTTGAGAACTTTTAGTAGCCGTCGAATGAGTACAATACGCAGTTCACTGCACGGTAGCAGAGTTTGAATTGATCCTAACAAAAAGAATGACCAATATGACAATAATAATGACCAAAACAGCAGCTACAACTGCATAAGCAATAGCTCCAGTGTTTCCACCGTCTGAAAGATAAAAATGAATGACAAATAATAAGATTACCAACTAATATTGTCTTTCAGCGATCATTTTTCGAAAGTTGAAAGTGTAACCGCTCTCACACCCCATGTATTCATCCCTGTTAACTATTCTTGATTTAATTATGGTATAAATTAGGTTTGCAACGCAATGAAATTAGAGAAGATGTACACAAAATCAATAAGGCAGTTAGTTGTTGGAATTAAATCGGCTGTATCATCAAACAAAATCTATATTCATCGTTAAAAATTTTCAGGCATTTTACTAAACTGAAATTTTCAAAGATCTTGAATCATTGCACTTTAGACATCGATAAACTTCCCTTATGCTATTGAAAACAAACACAAACCTGAAGACACCTGCTTTTGGGCAGTTGCCGCCACTCGACTCCAGTCAGTGGAATAATAAGCACCCTGAAAGGAAGTGAACATTTATATTTGAATAAAAATTGCAGCAATCAATGAAGTAAAAACGTAAATAAAACTTTGCACCTGATCATTAATGAAAATGCGCTGAAATATTCTGTAGTGAGTGCCGGGCTTTAGCGGGCCATTATAATAATTTTCACCATTGGAACGCCGTGTTGTGTTTTCACCATCACCAAGTGTAAAATCATGCTTAGAGTCTCTGCGAGATACTACAGCAGCAATATACGGCATTGGTTGTGCGGAAGATATGGCCTCAAAATAAGTTCCTAAGTCTGTGTTTTTAAAGGTAGAAGGCAATCGACTCTCTTCTTCACCATCTTCCATTGCCACTACGTAGAAATATCTGCAAATTAAAAGCAAAATATTTTTTAAAAGTACATGCATAACCTCTGCTTTTGTTAATCGTTAAAATATATGTTATGCATGTATCCGCACTGCCAGAGAAACGCGACGAGTCATCAAAACTTTTCCCAGAGAGATATTTAGACTACCTCGTTCCGACATGAAACCAACTGTCCTACACATAGCCATTAATCCGAAAAACTCGAAAAATGCTTTTAAGTTCCTTTAGGTTTTTTTACAATAATTTGCTCTAGTAAAATACATAGTTACCGATATTCCAAATTTGGATTTCGTAACAAATAAGTCAACGTATTTCCAATCTGCTTGGTGGACAGTTCAGGTGCCACTAAATAAATAAACTTGAATAAATTTATCATCTTAAACAAACCTGTACATAAACCATTGATAACTTACATCCATTTGTAAATACCCATATACCATTGCTGTAACATCCAGCTCCAACTATTGTAGAAGCTAAAACACGAACATAATATTTTGTCCCTGGTTTCACATTATTTATGTCCAAACGCTCTTCCTCGATCATATACTTCATTGAACAGGTTTCATTCTCCAAATGTGTAATACAAACTGTGTAATTGACTATCTTTCCATTTGTTTTGTTCTTGTCTGGTGGTTCCCACGTAACTGATAAAGATGAACTGCTTAAAGCGACAATTTGAACATTTAATGGTGGACCTTCGGGAACTAAACAAAAATAAAAACATACGTTTTAAAGATTTATGTAAAACATTAAAACACTTTAGAAAGAAGTCCTAACAAGTGTACACTGTTATTGTTAACTTAAATATAATACATTATAAGAAAAACATGATTGAAATAAATGTCGACCAGAAAAGATTTGAGCTTTCAAAACTCGTCCACGACAATAACACCATCAATGCAATAACAGCCGATATGTATACACAAAAACTGATATGAGCTCACCATCTTCAGCAGTTTTAAAAGTAGCTGTAGTTGATATACCAAAGCCTTCAGAATTGCCAGCGGTTACATTAACTTTATACGCTGCGTAAGGAACAAGATTCGTAATGTTGTACGGTTTTTTGTCAGTTACCTCCAAAGTTTTATCAAAAACAATCATAGTATCCTTCAGCAAAATCAATAGATATCTTGTAAGAGGACTCGAGATATTTGTACCAAGTTTTACACCAGTTTTTTTGGGATGTTTCCATGAAATCTCAAGGTATGTCGATGCAGATTTGGTTGCAATGAGATCTGTTGGTTTGTCTGGGAGTAAGTCTGTACGATAAAAGAAAAATCTACAAATTGAACCATGTGTAGCCCATAAATGAAATCAGTGTTCTTCTTTTTCTCCAATAACATGTGTTAAACTTAACTGCATGTTTAAAAGGCTCGTTTCAATAGGTTTATTTCAACAGAGAAAGAAACTAACACTTCAGCTTTCATGGAAAATTGTTCTGTTTTGTCAACTAACAGAGAAAAAACTTTATATATTGAGTAATTAAGTGCTTACAGTGCAAAGTAAATCTGGTATATTTTTTCTATCTCTTACCTCCACCACAAATTTCAATTCGTAAACACGGTGCACCAACAAATTTCAATGGAACAATTCGCAAAGCTTTGGATTTAAGGCCACCAGAAAACTTTTCTATAGCCGCATCATTGTAACCATTTTTGTTTCCTAGATAAATCTGGAATAAAACAAAAATAATGATTTTCGTGTATTTGCAGAGCAAGGTTACAGAAAAGCCAGGTTTGTTTAACGCAGTCCAGTGGAGAGTAGTTTATGCATTGTCTTTTTATCTCTTCAAATCATGCACATAGCAACAATTTAAACTTTATAATCAAATTCAAGAGTCCTTCGTAGTGCTGGAGTAACCAAGACAATCAACACAGTGACGTAGCTAGCCCACAAATTTGGTCGTACTATATGTAAATTTTTCAGTGCTCACTTACTGTAAAAACTAAAGATCTCTAAAGAAATGAATAATGATAACGATCTGAAATTTACATAGAACCAGAAATTTTGCGTGCCGGTTACACCACTGAATCCACATCTGCACATAAGCTTGTATATAAATAGCCATTTAAAAGTTTACTTAGTTTATTAAATTTATAATATACAAAATGAAAATTCTACCGTTACCTTCTGGGATTTTTCAGATTTCCAGTTCACACCATCAATGGTTGTGTGCAAGTGATATTTATTTACAAAGTTTGAACTTGAACTGTCTCCAAAGATAGTGATAACGTTAACTGTATAAAGACTCGGAAAATTCAGTTGAAGATAATGATTGCCATCTGCAGCAGAAGCACACCATGAACTGCCACTGGATATTCTTGCTTTAGAAGCACTACGACTATTTGGGAAGGCAGTAAACCAAGAATCTGGGAATTTTTCTGCGTTTTTTAATAGAGGATTATCACAAACATGACCTTAAATAGAAAAAGATTTTGTTGAAATGCATCACGCAACTTGAACTGGTTTGATTTGATAGAGAGCAATGGTGCACTGTCATATTTTTCCATTCACAAAAAATTGGAAAAATTAAAAACTGCTTTCTGAAGAAAAAAAAGAGCACAAGAAATATTGGAGGAATACGACTGATTTTGCATGCATTTAATAAATAAGGTTAAATTCCAGTTGGAATCAAGCCAGCTATGACAAGAAACCGTAAGTATCTTCTCTAACAACAACAATACGGTAATGATTTGAATTCCATTAAAGAGTAAACGTCAATCATCGCGCAGAGCAATGACAATTGGACATTTTTTGAAGCACGAAATGAAGTAGCAAGAGTAAAATTAATTTAATCCTCAGTATTCGCAGCAATCCTGTTTTAATTATTTTTTATTTAAGAGTAGCAATCGTTTATATTTTGTGATGCTATATTTCTTTTGTTATGTAAAAGAAGAATAGTTAAATTCTCCAAATCAGCGTAAAATACAGTGACACTACGATGTCAGATGTAAGACTTGATGATAGAGGTAAGTCATGATGCTTAACAAAGGACAGATGTAAGTTGAGAACACAAAAGTAACACATTCATTCCTTAAATTCTTCGACAAAAATCTTTTTCTAACGTCATACAAACGTGTCCTGCAATACGTTAATACATTCAAAAATTAATTGAGAATGCTTACATGTAACGTACGAGTATTGAGAGCAATCCTTATTTTGAGTGATAGCACATTGAGATAAATCGTTCACTCGAGCATCACATTTGACAATTCCAGGTATAAACGATTGATCCATCAAAGATGATAGTGACATTGAGCCTTCCACAGATGCTGCTGTAGGATAACCAAGTTGTTTACAGATAATCGTATTTATTTTGTGCAAAAGACCTTTGTTGCAAATGGTGAAGTTTCTAAGCTTGGTAATAACGTTCACGACACCTTCGTTCGGAAGATTCGACTTAGACAGGCGTACATCTATAACTACACAATCAAAATTATTTTTTCCTTTAATTATGATTATGGCGCATATCGTAAAGTGAAATCTGTGTTTTTAGAAGTGGTTTTATGAACATGAATATGACAAATCCTGTTCATGAATAAAACATATACACGGAGTTTGAATATCAGATTAACACAGGTGACAATAACTTTAAAAAAATTATAGTCTGAAAGCACTTAACCAGAAATCTTTTCCACATTCTGATGGACACAGAATCTTATACATTTACACTTAAAGTTTGTAAGCACAGTTTTCATTTTAATTTTTAAGTTGACAATGAACTACAGGCAAATAATTTGAACTGAGAACTTTACTTTTGTGTTGTAAACACGAATCACAACAAAATGTGTCTAAGTGATTATGTGAATCATTAATGAAACCAGAACAAATACCGTTTTTTTACAGGTGAGCGCTACGTTTAGCTTCCAATTCATATGAATTGTTATGAATTTATTTTTGTATATATATGCAGTAAATATGAAAATTCTGTTGTGTGAATTCATGAAAGTATGAATACAAATGCAATTGTAAATGTCACTTTTGGCCTACATAGAATTGCAAAGAGACTTTAAAAAAATAGATTTGATAAATCAAATTGACTGGAATAAATGATGTTTCTAGGAACAATATTTGCATTGACAAACTAAAAAGACAAAATTGTCCAAACCTTTAAACTTAAGCAAACTATTGAGGACACAAGTTTAAATGTCACATTATATAAAGACACTAAATTAAACCATACGAGATAAAACTGCATAAACAAACCACGCCTGGTGAAGACACCCGACAAAACTTCAAATTTGTTTTAATTTTTCTAAATTGATAACGTACATAGTATAAAAATAAACACCATACCATTGTGTATTAAGGTCAAAACTTGTCCCGAAGTGCTTATATCATAAACAAAATATAATTTGCCAATATAATACTTACGATTGCAAATTTTTCTGTATGGCATACTTGTGTAGTTACATTGATATTCAAAGTAAAGATATTTATTCAAGCCAGGACAAATATTTGAAGGAAAGTGATTATCATCAACAGTTACATTACATTCCCTTTCACCATCACAGTAATTTTTAAGGTCACAGGTTACATCGACACTACAATTGTAATCAAAACTTGAGCCACAAATGCTTCCGTTTCTCAATCCACGATATTCTGCAACTTTTATCACCATATATTGATCATTAGGACATCCAACGTTTGTTATATTTTGTCCAGCACATGTCACTGATCCTATTAAAGACACACAAAAAATAAGTAAATTAAAATCTATACAAGCTTATTTGTGAATTCCTGCAAAATAAAAGTTGATTTGATAAAAATGTAGTGTGTGATGGCAGTGATTTAACTGGCGCCATTCCTATATCTGTGGCCTTGCAGTGGCTTTTAATTAGAGTTTAAGTATATCTACGCTAACTGGATGAATATTCTCACTTGCCAAAATTGAATCGCTGATTTTCTTCATTTTTACAACTGACAAGTTTCAATACGGTATGTTCTGCTATACATTTTTTATCTCGTGAAAAGAATAGACCACCCCAATATGTTTGGGTTATTGCATAAATGGCTCCGCATCCTTCATACCAATTTGAGAGCAACAGTTCGCTGATGACTCCCGTCCATGAAATACAACTTTTTGAATCCAGCTTCAAGATTGAGCCAGATTGTAAAAATTTAAATTGAGCTCTCATGTCAAAACAATCCCATGAAAACTTTAATGAACGTCCTGAATAATCATAAACACACAATCCTGACTGAACATGTTTGATGAAAAATCCATTCGTATCTGAAAAAGGACAATGATATATAATAAAAATGATTGAAAACATCACACTCTATAAACTGTATGTATATAAAAAATAGGACTTTATCAAAAATAATTTAGCATACTGAATTCTATCAATATAGGAAAAAACACTCCAAAAAAAAGACATCTTGAAATTCAAACTTTCTTAAGAATTAAATAAGCCAATTGCTGTCTAGAGTCATTTTAAAAATAATGGCGTATGCAACAATTTAAGGCATCCAGCATGGAGCAATGAACTAAAATACATGGAACGCTACCTGTAATACAAAACCCTAATAATTTTTTAAAGCCGTGATTTCACCCAGACACGCAAGACTTTACCCCAGACACGAGTGTGTAGTCAATCAATTATTACTCCGCGAGAGAATTTCGAAACACTAAACGCGCGTGTCTGGGGTAAAATCTCGCGTGTGTGGCGTAAGATATGGCTTCAATTATTTGCTTAAGCTAGCGTTCCATGTATTTTAGTTCAATGGCATGGAGACTGAAAATTTTTACAAGCAATTTGAAAAGTGTAAAATATTCATCAATACAAATTTTACGGCGCACGGTCTGTTACGATGGAAAAGGGAGAGTTATGGTTTGTTCACGCAATTTTAGTGATCTATCGGGCCACTTATGGAATTTGTTTCTTTGGAAATTTTTTAAGACTATTGGCTGAAAGCTGGTTTTTCAACTTTGCCAATTCATCTGTGAATCTTAAACTGCATAAACTCCCATGTCTTTCATTTTTGATGAAAAAGAAGTTTATCTGAACACTGAATACAAATTTGTGCCCCAGGAACAGTTGATGATTTAGATCAGAATTGTGCAAACATGAAGACAAGGAATACGTAATTCAATGTAAAACTGAATTGTGAACTCTGTAAACTGTACACTTTTTTTGGTGGAGTTCATTTAAGTTGTGCTGTGAAATAGTGCTCTTGATAATAAAAATACCAGATTTGCACAATTTAAAATTCCAAACACTTTAGATAAATATCATGCCCAGGGCTTATACAAAATCGTGAGGCTTTTTACTAGTTTATACAAGTTTATACATGCAGAGGAGAGAGGCATACAAATATGTACAGAGATATTGTACAGAGGGTTAATAAAACAACAAAATTTGTTTCTACTGAAGTGAAATGTAAACATTCTCCTTTGAAAAATATTTAACAATTTTTGGATAAACTTGAGCATGATATTAAACAATATTCAGACCGAGGTCAATTGGATATCTACCGAAGCAAAGCTGAGGGGGATAGCAATAACTGCAGTCTGATTAAAAAAATTTTGCTGTTTGTTTTCGTCTTTTTCCTATAAATACGCGATGAAAACTAACTGGACAGACAGTTTAACCCTTCGGTGTTTTTTTCGTCTTTATTCTCGATCATTTGAGAAGAAATAAACACTTGAAAGTCTCGACGAAGATTCCACCAATATATTTGTTGTATTTACAGTTGTCTCATAAAGAAAATTACGTCATCTACAGATAATTTTCAATGTTTTGAAGGTGATAATTTATTACAATTATCTGATAGCTCTTAGGCAATGACAATTGACATTGCATCACCGTTGTTTTACAATAATAAAGCTTAACTAGCACAGATCAATATATGAACACCTTAACCCTAACCCTCACACCCCTTAACAGACAACCAAAATCTTCCAACATGATCGTTAATGAATAAAATCAATAAACGCGAAAATAGCCAAGACTCGCTCATGAATTGAGCTTTTACTCTTTTACAGGTTTACATTATAATATATGTATGACGAATTAAACATGTTTGGCTGTTCCAGGGTGTATTCTATTAGGTTTGCAACTGCAAAACAATTTTACATAAGAGTATACGTACATGATGAATTGAATATAGGTCAAAGTGCCGTATGGATTTGAGCAAAGTTGAACATGAAGCACTATAATCACATTGGTGCACTATAAATTAAACTGACACAGGAGAAACTAAAATGAACTGCCCTTGCATGTACCTCGTTTTAGGTTCACGTTGATGACAACATAACAAGTGTGACTTTTTCCACCGTATAAAACATACTTGTAAGGGATTTTGTGTTGTCCGATTTCAAAGCTATCAGAACTTGTAAGATATGTCTTTTCTACTTTTTCATTTATGTACTTATGTGAACACGTGAAGTTTTCTGGTTCTTTCCATTTTGCGGATGGAATATCACTATAATAAGGATAATAAGGATAATAACGATATCCGTAGAATGGCCCAGGAGCAACGTTCAAAATAATCGGACTGCATCCACATGTCCCTAAAAAAAAATTAAGTTATCCTTAACTGGTTGTCCAGAGAAAAAGAACAAGTAGAAAGTGACACTCATTTGGCCACAAAATGTTACAAACTATTCACATTGAATCGAATGTCTTCCTTAAACCCAAATAGGCAATAACTATACAGACTTTATCATATAACTGCATATATTACTATTTTTGACTCTACTGTCACATTACTTTGTTTTTGTAACTAGACAGAGGAACAATGAACGAGATATTATGCTGCGTCAATGCTGTGAAGCTAGTGTATCCAAATCAGTTGAGTAATTTAACATGTACCTTACGGGTTGAAACCATTTACTTTAGGTACCTTACTTTATTGCACTTTCTAAGAACACGGTTTCAATTACTGTTATTTAAATTAAACAGTACCTCATTAATATAAGTGTTGTGATTTTTTGCCAAGTACATTTCCAGTTGATGTTCTGTACTTACTGTAAACTGAACTATTGTTTATTTTACCTTCAAGTGGACATATTTCACTAAACATTTTAAATCGCTCCAAAAGATATTTCTTCTCCTCAACACAACAACGTGTACGAGTATTGTAGCATTTCGAATCGATTTCAATTTTGTCGGCCACAAATTTCTTCCATTCTTCCTCACAAAACTCAAGCTCTTCATTCCAACCCATTTTCATTGTGAATCCATGACCAAATAACAGCCACAATAAACACCATATCATTAAACTCATCATTGCATAGATCCAAGGAAATACAGTAAAGCTCTAAATTATAATTGATTATTGGATGTAGGTACGTTATCACAGAGGACTTTAAATTTATATTTAGATGAGCAATGACTACGTCACAATTACATCTGTGATGCAAGCAGATTACGATCAAAACGTATTTTTGAGCAATATATGAGCATTATCTAAAAAATTCAGTTCAGCAAAATTGTGTAGCGAGAAAAACTGTTCAGAAATAGAAATAGATCGAGTTAGTCTCATATGGCTGCATGATGGCTTTCTTAATGGTAGCCACTGTAGCTATTATATACGTACGTGGTTATAATTTTTTTGAAATAACGAAACTTGGTTATCTTTAAATTTATGCTTTATTATTCTTACTCGGTTCAATACAAATTTCAACTTTTTGTGTTTCAAGAGATTTATTGAACGATGAAAAAATGCTTTTTTGTGGATAGCGCTAAGGAAGCGAAGAAAGCGAGATCAAATTAAAGTGAAAGCAAATCATTTATTTTAGGTACAATAGATTAAAAACCCACGACGATGTTAAAATTCTTTATCTGAATGTAAAAATAACAATTGTGCATGCAGAGCTTCCCATTAACTATTTCATTGCAATTTCCTGTTATGTCATGATACATGTAAAAAACCTATGAAATCATAAAGTACTTTACAATTTCTTCTAACGCAGCCTCTATATTGTCTTTATACTTATACCCGTATTGGTTTTTCATTCGAATTTTTAATTCATCGAATTCAACACATTAGCAGGTATAAAACTGCTAAATTGCTCAGTTGACAAATTCAAAAAGTTACAGTTGAAAAATTAACTAAATAAATTATAAATTTCAAAAGATAATGACCAAAAAATAATGTTGAAAGGATGTTAGATATTTACATTACATGCACTGCGGAGCTTTTTTTCTATTGAGGAGGAAGAGCTCACGAAATAAGCGAACGTCGATATTAAGAGCTGCTAAGTAGCTTTGGGTTTCAGCGTTATCTTGAGATTGCTCAAATTATTTTATAAAAATTTACAGAAATATCACAGAAAATCTTGGAAATATTTTGCAACTTTTTAAATTTTTCCAAGCTTGTCGTTACTCCTTTGTTTGCAGTTATTCGTGGAGTACTAACTGACAATGAATACTCCATAAGAATTGAAAATCTCAAGCGGATTTCTTTTTAATTTTTCGCAGGCTCCGCTGAAGAACGAATATATTTACAGAACAGTGGAATAGGGTTTGTTTTTGACGTAGTTGAGAGATTTAAGAGAAAAATGTGACAATATATAAATATACGAATCAAAATATTAATGTGAAACCTGTCCCCAATCGTACATGAAGCATGGAGGTATTGTGGTAAATGAAAAAATCTCTCCATTTACTATAAGAATCTAATCATTGGGGGGGGCGGAAGTTGTGCAGTGTATGTATTAACACTTATTTGCCAAACTAAGTCAAAGAAAAATTTTGCAGTATTAAATGTTAACAGGGCATCGAAGATAAAGAAAGTTCCATTTTACTATCAACTACATCACATCTTACCTTTGTTCTTTTACTATTTGAAAAACGGACACAATGAGGCGACTGAAGAATTACACCTTAAACAAACAGGGAAAAATTAAGATACATACAAGTCAGACGAGTTGTGGCTTTCGCAACGTTTTACTTAGAACTGCTGGCCAAGGCTGTTTCCTCGAGTGTGCTGTGCCTTATTGAGTATATAAAAACACTCATGCCATCTGCCCCAGTTATTCAACATTTTATGGAATTTGTTTTGCGTCAAATCCTATCCTTTACAAATCAACAATAATACTTTAAATGTTTGGAAATTTGGATGCTGTGGTTGGTTGACGAAGCAATGTTATAGAAGATAAAGTTTTTGACATTTTAGAGAATTATCTCTGTTTATAGCTACGAAGCAACGAAGCACAAATAATACATCTAATGTGGGCAAACACGGAAAAACAGGTTATTGACTTTAAGTGCTCAATGACGAAAAATTATATTGTTCCCATAACGTATTTTAGGTTTTTCACTACCAACAGTAAATTCCAACAGTAAATTCAATTTTGCTGATAGCCATTAGCAAAATTTTAGCCCCTAAATACAACAAATTGTGCCGGACTGAACTATACAGTAAAATTTACTACGTAATATCACCTGTACATTCATTGCCTACAGGTGTTTGTTTAAACGATGGAAACAATACGACAGCGGCGCAAATAAAGTGAGAAATGACAAGAAAAACAACGCTTCAAGGAATAATGACTTAATTATTGAATAATGTTCAAGCGATTTAATTCAGCATAAAGAATCAAAAACAACATCAATTCGATATCAATTTTAATTTGGTATATGACAAACTTTTAGTTTATGCATTGGACGGCCACTTTGTAAAATATTATATCAAACTAAATTAAAACTAGATAGGATGATTTTAATTTAGGCAATTTTTATAATTTTTTTCGTAATATATCTTTGTTAATTAGCTCTTAAGTGCTGTCCATAAGTCTACGTTTTGATGTGAAGAGGTGGACAGAAAACTTGTAGAAACACATACATTTCGAAATACCACATTAAAATTAGTTGTATTATAAGGCCTTTACTAATTGGGAAGTCTTTAAAGAGAAATGTCGGATCATTTAATTCTTTATGTGCAGACCTCGCAGGCTCAAAGAGCGAATAAACGAAGTTAATAAAAGGTTTATTATAAAGGATTATTTAAAGTGAAACGAAGCTTTCTTTATTTTTTGTCCTTAATGTTTTGGAAAAGTTGGCATTCACTTCTGTTTACTTCTTGTTTTCAAAACTCTTGTTATTTGTTTTAAGAAATTTGTTTCCATTTATTTGTAAAATTACCTGTAATGAACCACCGGTTTGAATTGGTATAGATCTGAGAGTCTGTATATGGTCATTGTCAACATTAAGTCATTAACAGCATTTACTATGTAATAACATGGTGGCCTCTTGCTATCACAGGGACGTTTACTGACGTATTTTCTCATCATAATATTCAATAGGGACTTTAGATTAAATATCCTCATCAATAATAAAACAATACCCTATTCCTGGAGTGCAACCAATTTTCACGGAATTATGAAAAAAATTGACCCGCCTTATCGGCCTGTGCAAACAATGGCTTTGATAAAATAATTTTTTTGTATTTGACCATGAACATGGCGACCGTGACGTAAACATGCAGCCCATGCACCTTTTATTATTTTCAAATTTTGATTTCGTCATGTAAAAATTGCTTCAGTTTGCATCTTCATTTTATCCACGGCTTAATCATTCTCAATTCTTCTCGATGAAAAAGTTTAATAGTTGATGTCTTCAACCTTTTAAACCAAAATACTTCGAGGGCAAGCCGGCATCATGTAAACTGCAAAACTCGGTCAAACAAAAAATTTGCTGTATATTAAATGCTAACGAAGCAACGAGGATAAACAAACATTCGTTTTACCATCAACTGTAGCCAACGAAATTTATTACATCTTACCTTTTGTTCTTTTATTGTCTTCACGTCTTTGTTTGAAAAACGCACTTAATAAGGCAACTGCAGAAATACACCTTACACAAACAGAGAAAATGAAGATTCGTACAAGTATGGTAAACAATAGAGTTGTGGTTTTCGTAAAGTTTTATTTGTAAGTGCTGGCCAAAGCTGTTTCGTCCAGTGTGGAGTAGCGTGTGTTGAGAATATATAAACATGCACTTATGCCGACTGCCACTAATATTTAACATTTTATTGAATTTTGTTTTGCCTCAAATCATAACCTTTACGAATCAACAATAATACTTTAAATGTGTTAAAAAATTTGGAAACAGAGAAAAATTAAGATACATACATTGGTTGACGAAGCAATGTTATAGAAGATAAGTCTTTGATATTTTACCTCTGTTTAGACAAAGCGCCGAAGCAAAATTAATGCATCTAAACTGGGTAAACACGGAAAACAGGTTAATGACTTCAAGTGCTAATGACAAAAAATGATATTGTTCCCATAGCCTATTTTAAGTCCTTAAATATCAACTTTGGAAACAGTAAACTTAATTTTTGCTAACAGTCATTGGTAAAAAATTGTAACCCCAAATACATCAATTTGTGTCGAACCAAACTATACAGTAAAATTTACAGCATGAAACCAGCTTTTTTTTATTGCTTACAAGTGTCTGTTCAAACCAGTGACACACTAAGACAGCTGCACAAATACAATGACAAAATGGCAAAAAAATAATGCATGCAAGATTAATGACATATGATTGAAGAATGTTGGTTCAGCGGTAAAGAATTAAGAACAACAATTTAACATTTCGATATTAATTTTAATTTGGTATATTGCAGACTTCCAGTTGATGTATTGGACAGCTACTTTGTGGGATATTATCAAAATATACTACAACGAGCAAGAATCATTTTAATTTAGGCAACTTTCACAATTTTCTTCGTAACTTAGCTATGTTAATTTGCTGTAAAGTGTTGTTCTTAAGTCTACGTTCTTATGTGAACAGGTGGAAGGAAAAGCATGTAGAAACAGATAAATTTTGAAAAACCGTATTAAAGTTTTTTGTATTACAAGGCCCTTACTAAGCAATCGCGAATTCTTTAATGAGAAATATTGGATTAGATATTACTTTATGTACAGACCGCGCAGGCTGGAGAGCGAGCAAGCAAAGTTAAGAAAATGTTTATTATGAAGCATTATTTAAGCTGAGACAAAGCTTTCTTTACTTTTTGTCCCTGCTGTTTTGGAAAAGTTGGTATTCACTTCTGTTTACTTCTTGTTTTCAAAACTCTTGTTATTTGCTTTAAGAAATTTGTTTCCATTTATTTGTAAAATTGCCTGTAATGAACCACCGGTTTGAATTGGTATAGATCTGAGAGTCTGTATATGGTCATTGTCAACATTAAGTCATTAACAGCATTTACTATGTAATAACATGGTGGCCTCTTGCTATCACAGGGACGTTTACTGACGTATTTTTTATCATAATATTCAATAGGGACGCTCAGACTAAATATTCCTCATCAGTACGTTCAATAGGGACGTTTAGACTAAATATCCCTTATCAACAATAAAACAATACGCCTATTCCTGGATTGCAGCCAATTTCCACGGATTTATGAAAAAAAATTGACCCGCCTTATTGGCCTGTGCAAACAATGGCTTTGATAAAATATTTTTTGTATTTGGCCATGAACATGGCGGACGTGACGTAAACATGCAGGTCATGCACCTTTTATTATTTTCAAATTTTGATTTCGTCATGTAAAAATTGCTTCAGCTTGCATCTTCATTTTACCCACGGCTTAATCATTCTCAATTTTGCTCTATGAAAACGTTTAATAGTTGATGTCTTTAGCCTTTGAAACCACAATACTTCGAGGGCAAGCTTACCAAATCGAAAGTCCTCTTGTTTGAACGCTGAAAATCACCAAACTTGCGTTATTATAAGCTTATTGCCTCACAATTTATGTCGTTGAAAGGTAACAGAAATCGTCTTTTCCTCGAGTCAGAAAATTTCTTGTTACATGCCAACTTGGGGAAACCAGTGATCCACCATCAATAACTTCAACCATAATCAAAGTACAGTATATGTATTTGCAGAGCAAATAATACATAGCTTCACTAAACCAATTTAAAAACAGAATTCACAATTCAATAGCTAGATGAATTTGTTTATTCCACAACTGACCATGAACAATGTGCGCTTCAAACACCATCGATGGTTGTCAATATTAAAGTAAAAGGCTGTTTACATGATCCCGGGTAACCGGGATTCAGTGAGGCGTGAAATGATTTCGACGCATTGAAAGGAGTCGAAACGTCAAGCGTAAAAATTACAACTGTTTATATAGCACAACAAGTCATTCCTGTTGTAATTGTCAAATTAGGCCAAATTGGTTACTGTAATTTTAAATGTTATTTTTAGTTATCAAACCATAATATTGTGAAATTGCTCGAGAAGATTTATCTGATGATAAGTATTGAATCGTTTGAATTTGGCAAAATCACTTATTGCTTCGCTGAATCCCGGCTACCCGAGCTCATGTAATCAGCCTCTAAGTGAGCTCAAAATTGAATTCATTATTGTCAAACTGAAGAGTTTCGTGCATTGATTATTCCTTCTGAAACCATGTTATTAAAAAGTAAACGCATGCTTTCAGGGATATTAATGATTAAATGTTCTTAAGCCTCGGGAGATGTATTAAAAGTCCGTCGGATTGCGCCGAACTTTTCGCCTCGACTTGCAACACATTTAATCACTAATATCTCTTAAAGCAAGAGTTAACGTATCATAAAAAGAATGAAATACAAACAATATAAAATTAATATGTCTTAGTGTTTGAACTGATCTGTTACGTTCACATTAACAAGAAAGATTTCAGAATAGAAAGACTTTAACTATTTTCATATTATTATTAAATCAAAGAGAGCTTTTGGAGGGTTGCAACCACCCCCCTGGGAGTATGAGAACTATGGAATACCCCCATGTTGGATTAAATTTGCATTGTAAATAAGGGAAATCTTTGTTAAAATCATCCAACATGGCGACTAGGACGTAACTTGCAATCCAAGAATAAGAAATAGAATAACAGGATAGTATAAACTTATCTGCCTACGACAACAATAAGCAGCCCTTGCTTCTCAGACAAAATCTTCAACTCTTCTCCGTCCAAAAATCCTTACGACCATACGCCCAACAACAATTGGCCAAATATCAATGCCGTTTCGCATCTTTCGTATTACACAATGTTCTTCAATAATCATCTTTCTCTTTCTAGCTGTCCTCTTCTTATATATTGTCTGGAAGCTATTTATAGAGTATAAGGTAACGTCCTTTTTATAAATATGGCATAACTGCTACTTACAATATATGACGTAATGTAACTAAAATTAGAATGTAACTGTATAATAACAATGAGTCAGCATGATATAGCTAAAGCTAATTTATGAGTCTGACGATATATAACGTCACATGATCCTACATATGTTGACAAATGTCATAACTGGTGTTATATATTTTTAGCAGCAAGATATATTTAAAATGCTAAAAAAATATTAAAAGTTTTCTTGCAGAAGCGGCCACAATTAAATAAAAAGATGTAAATCTTAAAACAAATCTCAGTCACCAGTTTTACAGTAAAAGGAATTTGGAAATTTGAACATTTTAGTAAGCTTGCTGGCTTTTAGACAGCAAGTTATGCCAAACTATGGTGAAAAGTTTACGCATGTTCTTTTTCTATAAAGGAGATTACTTACCACTGATCCGGAGAACTGACTGCAGTTTAATGCATTAAAATAGATCAACGACATGGATAATGTTAACGCAATCCAAGAGATGGAAAATGTGCCACATCGATCAAAACCATACGACATTAAAAAGAGAAAATTTCCGTCATAATCATTTAGATCGAATTAACAACACGTCAGTTTAAATAAAAATTGACTTTCGAAACATAAGGAATAAAGTTTGTTGTATAGTTCCCGCCTTTTTCTCAACCGTGCATGAAGATAGGAGAGCTTTGATTAATATTTTTGGGACTATAGAGTTGTTAAGTGAAGGTACAATTGATGTATACATGACCTGCATACAACAATGACAGGTCCTTTGACTTCAGCAGTTGTTTTTAAACCTTCCAGTAGAGATAAAACCTCTGCCAAACCGTGATTACTGACAAAATTCATAAACAAAAACAAAATAATATCAAAACACCAGTATGGTTTTAGAAAAAACATATCAACAGAACATGCTATAGCTGCTTTTGTTGATAAAGTCACCAGAGCAATTGATCAAGGAAATTTCTCTTTAGGTATTTTCCTTGATTTGTCACAAGCTTTTGACATGACTAATCACAGGACTCGGATGAGAAAATTAGAGAATTATTCCATTCGAGGAACAGCTAAAAAATGGTTTGAAAATTATTTATGTAATAGAAAGCAGCTGGTTAAGTATAACGGCACAGAATCTGAAAAAATTACAATTACAAATGGTGTCCCACAGTGATCAGTTTTGGGTCCTATACTGTCTCCTATATACACTAATGTTATATCCTGTAATGTCATTTCTATATATCAATGACTTGATAACATATCAATATATCAATAACTTGATTCAATTAACGTTGTTAAGCCTTTTATTAATTGCCACAACAAAAATGGTGTTAAGCCTAAACGCCCGAATGGTTAAGCTTTGGGGGAGGGCTCATTTCCCCTGTGCCCTCCCATGCCTTACGCCCAAGAAAATAGTTATCTTGATGATAAAATTACCAGAGTTGTTCAATTTAAAATTCCAGATACTTTAAAATTCATCGTCAAACACTTTGGTATATATAGGCCTAAGGCTTATACAAATTCGTAAGGCTTTTTTTGGGTGTAAACGTCTAGAGGAGAGATGCATAAAAAATTGTACACTTGACTTGTGAAATAAATTCTTGAAGTAATTGAAAAATTTGCACTGAAAAATTGTGTCATTAACTAAAAACAATTAAAATAACACAAACACATACAAAAAAAAACCAGTTTGTGCTGGCATGTAGTCATGAGCAATAATTTCTGTCAAAAATATACCAATTTTCGTCAAAACAACAAAAATTTACGACATATTACCTAATGTTCATTTACTGTCTACAAGTGTTTATTGAGACCATGGATACAACAAGACAGCCGCACAAAAACAACCAGAAATGGAGAGAAAAATAATGCTTCGCCTTAACGGTTTTGGTAATTGAAGCAATAAGCAATAGAGCTCAGCATTGTCTTTTAAAGAATTAAAAATAAAATGGTCGCAAAAGTCATAATGTTCTGTATTGTCTGCTATCAAAGTTAAAACTGTATAACCTTGTTATGTCCATTATTATGACATCACTTTTAATTTGGTGTAAGACAAACTTTTAGTTCATTCTTTCGGCTGGTAATTTCTATGGTTTGTAAATTATGTTAATTAACTTTTGAAGTGACTCCATTCTGAAGTGAACAGGTGCACAGAAAACACGTAGAAAAACGTAAAATAAAACTCAACTTCCGCGGCATTATAGGGCTTTATTTAACAAATCGGAAGGTCGGGTAGCATTGCATGGTTATTATCATGTTATAAGAAATAATCATTTTTACATAAGGTGTTAGAATACAAAAGGAGACGGTGTCAAATAGATTACATAAATTACAAAGTTAGGAAGAGAAATACAGTGAAATTAAAAGAGTTGAATAGAACTGCCTTGGACAGATGTTAAGTCATAGTAAAAGAAACATACCAAAGGTCCACTTTGCTGAGAAACTTGCTATTGTACATATAATTAGATAACAGGCTGCCGTTAGCCAGCTCAGCATCCTATTACTCAAAAAAAGCATTTTACTAGATGCCAATATAGTAATCATATGCGCAATTAGATATAGGTGGCGCAAGCAATTCAATGGACTTGCTCTTCTGTATTTTTACTACACTGTCTATAAGGGAAAGCTTGTGGCTATTGATTATGAGGCTATTGATTATGAGGCTCTCATTAAGGGAGAATCATGAGAAGAGGAAATTCTTTCAAAGTCGTCCATGTTGGGGGTATCTCCAGATGTGTTTATACTAGCAAAAATGCTCGATAACGCAATGCGTGACGTTTAATTACCTTCAAATGGAGATATTCTCATATGCTCCGAAAATCCGATGTGTAAATGACGTGTGGTCTGACCCACATACAATACGTACAGCTACAACACTTTAATGAATACGTAACATCCAACCTCTCAGGTTTGAAAACTATTTCTTTAAAGTGGAAGAAAGAAAATATACGTTAAGAAAGGTGGAAAGCAAATTTAATTAGTACATGCAGAAAAACGGCATCACTAAGGTAATTTATTTTTGTGTGTATTTGAAGAGTACATACCTGTGAAAAAAAGACAGAAGTAGATGGATTTTTTGCGACCAGTCCTGACGGGAGGTTTTGGGTTAAAGGTATTGTCGAGGAGGCGACGTGCTATTTGGTCAAATACACTGGAAGAAAAATCGTTTTTGATGAGTAACTATCTCGTAGATTAAAGTAAAACAAACATTTTCAAAGGTAATTGAAAATGTTATTGGAAAAGTTGTCTTTGCATATGACTTTCCCTTTTCTTTTTTTTTCTTTCTTTCTTTTTCCTTTCCAAGCTAGTAATTTGAAATCTACCATGGATATTTTCAACATAGATTTTAGTTAAAATTTTTATATTTTTATGCTGTATTTATAAAAGTTGTACCATTTTTATCAATTATATTTTAATGTTTTCAAAGGGAAAACAAAAGTTTGTAAAATGATTTAAAGGTCTTAAAGATTTGTTAAAAAATTTCAAAGGTTTGAAAAAGATTTTCGAGAACAAAGATTTGATGAAATATGCTCACGTGAGGTTAGTGAACGTTTGCGGTAAACGGAATGCAGCTGAAATGCATCGTATGTGAGTTAAGCCACACGTCCTTACAGACCAGATTTTCGAAGCATTTGGGAATATTCTTCCCTGTGTCCAGCCCTGTAACGAAAACAACCGAGCAGCCACAAAAACAACCGAGCACTCATTAGCATAGACAGCCTGCAAATTTGTCTTTCTATGAAAATAATCTTTACTAACTGTATTAAAACAACGGATTCCTAAAAAAATAAACCATACAGATGATTTACAAACCACAACCAAATAAGATGGTATGATACGTTACTGAGAGCAAAGTTCGAATACAACACGAATTTTAAAGTAGAATTTCATCAACTTCCATACAACATATGATGATCATAAATAGGATTAGGAGATTATCAAAAAATCAGCTCATGATTATTTTTTAGGAAATTATCACGATATTTGATAATATCGTTGTAAATACAATAACAAAATGCACCACAATATTTTAAAATATTGATCAACAAAATGAACTAAACATAAACAACAAAGTAACTAAAGTTTTATGATAGATACTCAATATTGAATAACAGTCACCGGATGACACAAATGCTGCGGACACACAGCGCAAGCAAAGCATGCAATTTCATTGTTTAGTGGATCAATGCATAAATAACAGTGATTTAGTCTAGCTTTTGTAATTTACTATATCGTATTAATTCGGTAAATTTATGTTTGAGCTACGTTTTCCGGAAATAAAAAGAATCATCCGGGTTCTATAAAGCTAAATGTACATACAGGCAAAACAATATCATGATAGTCATCAAGCATGACAATAACTTTGATAAATCAATTTATCGAAAATTCACTCGACCTAATCATAAATGTGTCAAAGTGTTGGTAAATATCACAATACCTTTTCAAACATGAAGTCAATAACAGCAAAATTTTATATGGTCTATTTTGAAGAGGCTGCATAGTCCATTAATGAAAATAACGCTAGTTGCTGGTGCAGTTGGGGCTTCAAGAGAGTAATAAAGACATGTGTACCGCTGTTTCAACGAACTGCGGCGTCTATTCTGGATCTGCTTGATGCATTGGAACGCATTAATCGCTTGGACAGTTTTGACTTGGTCGACAAGATTTGATATAGCAATATAGGTACCTGAGTGACGTGCTCCGTAACTGGATTAAAAAAATATTTTCGTGTTTGTTGCAAAATTTTTGTAGAGATCTTCACTCAGACTTTAAACCGCCGAATTAAAACCATTATGTTATTTCCCAGTATTTAAGTATATTTTAGTGTTATGACACATTAGTAACGATTTGGCTTTATATTCAGGTTTTTATGATGTGTTGCATACAGAGAATTCACATCTATGATTTATGGATTCCTTAGGAGAAGAAAGAAGACCATTACCAGCATGTGCATACCTTGAAATAAGATCAAAATTTAATGATAAAAAGTTGGAATTTAGAGGGTACGAAGAAAATGAAATAAAAGAGTGATGAGAACATTAAGTTTTCCTATTTTTTGGACAATCTGCCACATGTTTGTGACCTTTCATTGGCTTCTTGCATGTCAAACATTTTGTTTGACTTTTTTCTTTTGAAACTGCCACTTTTGACTGACAGCTGAATGGCACACTGGTAGCTGCTGGCATGAAACAAAAACATTTTTATTATTTAAAATGATTTTCAAACCATGTTTAGCTACAACATGTTATATAATTATTATTAATTACCTGGAATTGAGGGGGGGACATCATTGACCACAATGCATTTTCGACGGACCTGTTTTAGTAGCACCTCAGATCTGGGTTGCTTTTGCAGCATGACATTCATTGGTGGTGGGGACATTTCTTTCAAAAGATTTTGTGAATTTGATAATGCGTCTTTGTCTTTTATTGACGACAGCATCACACTCTCAAATAATTCATCCACATACTCTAAAAAGAAATTATTGTCATATTCAATACTATGACATGATGCAAAGCAACACATTTAGCAACAACTTACCAAATTTGGGTTTAACTCTGGCATCCCTCACAGTTCCTTCACCATTTTTAAACTTTGGATACACCACATTTATTTGGAAAGTGCCATCATTCTTCATCTTTACATCACGCCTTAAGTTGTTGTTGAAGTGGATGGACGCCAAAATGTGTCTAAAACAATAAAGACTTGTGGAAGTTGCAAAACAACTAACATTGTCATATAGGAAATTTTCGCTCACCTGCAATACATTCCAACATAGGAATAATGAATCATTTTTGGAGCAAAATGATTCATGACAGAATGGAATCCTTCCAAACAACTGGTTTGAGCAACTGGTGAAGCCAGGTGAATTGACTTTATCAGCTGTGGGTTTAACAATTTAGCACAAAGCTTTTCATGAGGAACTGAACCCTAAACATTACAACAAAGAATGATGATAAACTGTTAGGGAAGTTATCTTTAAATAATGCCTTCACAAACCTTCTAACAAATAGTCCCTTGGTTGAATATCAGGGCCATGAAAACAACTTGAAAACAGTGGATCATCCAAATTGGTGTGCTTGTCTACTATGTGACTCAGGAAAGATTTGAACTTTGCCCAAATTACTTTGCCATCACCATAATAAACAGCCGAATACTTAGTCGGTGTCTATCTAGCGCGTTTTCTTGCAACAAAATTCACCCAGATTTTACGTCTTCGCTTCGCTTCAGGACGCTCATCACCGTAAAATGGTATACGGTGAAGAGAAATTCCTTCCGCAGAGTGTGCTCGGTTTGATCAGCCGAAAACTGCACATCTCTCAGGCATTTTGATGAAGAGCCGTAGTAGATACAGTGGAAATTATAGCAAAATCAAACTTCAGAAAAACTTCCTGTCCTTATGTTACGTCACATACTTCTCGATTCAGGCTCTCATCAAGCAAATTGAACGCGCAGCAATTTTCTCCATTATTGCCCATTTTGAGAAAAGAAACGCATTTATCTCATAAACGAAGCCATCAATCAGAAAATTGTAAAATAACTTTTACAATGATTTTTTACCTCAATCAGAAAATTCGAAAAAAAAATTGTGAGATAAGCACTTTAACTTTATTTCTTATTTAATGTACTTAGATAAAAAGTATTACAACTATTATCCTATTTCAAGTATTGACTATATCGTTAGCCTAAAAATTTGATGTTATGTTCCAAATTGTTTTCAAATACTGTTCAGAATCATTCACTCTCGTTCACTCTTATAGTTTAAAAGGAAATAAAGGTTTTATGTTTAAATATATTCTTTTATAATACGCCAAATTTCAGAAAACTTCTAACAATTTCGCGAAAAAGTTCAACTTCCCCCATTTTTGAGAACTTTTAGTAGCCGTCGAATGACTACAATACGCAGTTCACTGCACTGTAGCAGAGTTTGAATTGATCCTAACAAAAGCAATGACCAATATGACAAGAAAAATAACCAAAACAGCAGCTACAACTGCACCAGCAACAGCTCCAATGTTTCCACCGTCTACAAGATAAAATTGAATGACAAATCATAAAATTACCAACAAATGTTGTCTTTCAGCGACCATTTTTGTAAAACTGAGGGTGTAACCGCTGTCACACCTCATGTATTCACCCATGTATTCACCCCTGTTAACTATTCATGATTTATTTATGGTATAAATTCGGTTTGGAACGCAGTGAAATTAGAGAAGAGGTACACAAAATCAATAATACAGTTATTTAGTGGAATTAGTTCGGCTGTATCATCAAACAAAATTTAATTTCATCGTTAAAAATTTTCAGGTATTTCACTATACTGAAATTTGCAATGATCTTAAATCATTACACTTTAGACATCGATAAACTTCCTAATGCTATTGAAAGCAAACACAAACCCGAAGACTTGTGCTTTTGGGCAGTTGCTGCCACTGGACTCCAGTCAGTGGAATAATAAGCACCCTGAAACGAAGTGAACATTTATATTTGAATAAGAATTACAGCAGTCAATGCTGATGAAAACGTAAATAAAAGGTCGCACCTGATCATTTATGAAAACGCGCTGAAATATTTTGTAGCTAGTACCAGGCTTTAGCGGGCCATTATAATAATTTTCACCATTGGAACGCCGTGTTGTGTTTTCACCATCACCAAGTGTAAAATCAGGCTTAAAGTCTCTGCGAGAGACTACAGCAGCAATATACGGCATTGGTTGTGTGGAAGATATGGCCTTAGAATAAGTCACTAAGTCTGTGTTTTTAAAGTTAGAAGGCAATTGACTCTCTTCTATGCCATTTTTCATCGCGACTACATAGAAATATCTGCAAATTTAAGGCAAAACATTTTTTGAAAGTACATACATAACCTCTGCTTTTGTTAATCATTAAAATATATGTTATGCATGCATCCGCATTGCCAGAGAAAAGCGACGAGTCATCAAACCTTTTCCCAGAGAGATATTTAGACTAACTCGATCCCACATGAAACCAACTGTCCTATACTTAGCCATGAATCCGAAAAATTCAAAAAATACTTTTAAGTTCCTTTAAGCTCCATTACATTAATTTGCTCTAGTAAAATACACAGTTACCGATATTCCCAATTTGGATTTCGCAACATATAAGTCAACGTACTCCCAATCTGCTTGGTGGACAGTTCAGGTGCCACTAAATAAATAAACTTGAATAAATTTATCAGCTTAATCAAACCTGTGCATAAAACATAGAAAACTTACATCCATTTGTAAATACCCATGTACCATTGCTGTAACATCCAGATCCCACTATTGTAGAAGCTAAAACACGAACATAATATTTTGTCCCTGGTTTCACATTATTTATGTCCAAACGCTGTTCCTCTATCATATAGTCCATTGAACAGGTTTCATTCTCCAAATGTGTAATACAAACAGTGTAACTGACTATCTTTCCATTCGCTTTGTTCTTGTCTGGTGGCTCCCACGTAACTGATAATGATGAACTTCTTAAGGCCACAATTTGAACATTTAAAGGTGGACCTTCGGGAACTAAACAAAATAAAAACATACGTTTTAAATAGTTATGTAAAACATTAAAAACACTTTAGAAAGAAGTCCTAACAAGTATACACTGTCATTGTCAACTTAAATATAATACAGTATAAGAAAAACATGATTGAAATAAATATCGACCAGAAAAGATTTGAGCTTTGACAATAATCAATGTCCAGCCTGACCAAATTGCACCAGCAGCCGATGTTTCCATGATAAGGAACGATTCGGTACGTTCAGATGCAAATTATTCAATCTGTCCTTCTTGAGTAAGAGGATTCGATACCAAGACCATTGAATGATATCTGGTACGTCGATCAGTGTTCTGATTTTCTTCAATAAACGAAAAACTTAACTGCATGTTGAAAAGGCTTGTTTCAATAAGTTTATTTCAACAGAGAAAGAAACTAACACTTCAGCCTTCATGGAAAATTGTTCCGTTTTGTCAACTAACATAAGTTTAATTAATACTCAGAGAAAAAAAATTTATATATTGAGTAATTAAGTGCTTACAGTGCAAAGTAAACCTGGTATATTTTTTCCACCTCTTACCTCCACCACAAATTTCAATTCGTAAACACGGTGCACCAACATATTTCAATGGAAAGATTCGCAAAGCTTTGGATTTAAGGCCACCAGAAAACTTTTCTATAGCCGCATCATTGTTACCATTTTTGTTTCCTAGATAAATCTGGAATAAAACAAAAAAAAAAGATTTTCGTGTATTTGCAGAGCAAGGTTAGAGAAAAGCCAGGTTTGTTTAACGCAATCCAGAGGAGAGTAATTTATGCATTGTCTATGTATCTCTTCAAATCATGCACATAGCTACAATTTAAACTTAATAATCAAATTCAAGATTCTTTCGTAAGGCTGGAGTAACCAAGACAATTAACACAGTGACGTAGCTAGCCCACAAATTTGTTTGTGCTATAAGTAAATTTTTCAGTGCTTACTTACTGTAAAATCAATAGATCCCTAAAGAAATGAAGAATTATAATGATACAAAATTTACATAGAACCAGCAATTTTGCTTGCAGGCTACACCACTCAATCAACATCTGCACACTTGCTTGTATATAAACAGCAATTTAAATTTTACTTAGTTGATAACTTCATTCCTTTTTTATATTTCCCATTAAATTTATAATATACAAATTCGAAAATTCTACCGTTTTCGTTTGGGATTTTTCAGATTTCCAGCTCACACCATCAATGTTTGTCTGCAAGTGATATTTAGTTACAAAGCTTGAACTTGAACTGTCTCCAAAGATAGCGATAGCGTTAACTGTATAAAGACTCGGAAAATTCAGTTGAAGATAATGATTTCCATCTGCAGCAGAAGCACACCATGAACTACCACTAGATACTCTTGCTTTAGAAGCATTACGACTTTTTGGGAAGGCAGTAAACCAAGAATCTGGGAATTTTTCTTCGTTTTTTAATAGAGGATTATCACAAACATGACCTTAAATAGAAAAGGATTTTGTTGAAATGCATTACGCAATTAGAACTTGTTTGATTTGATGGAGAGCAATGGTGCACTCTCATATTGTTCTCCATTCACGAAAAATTGGAAAAATTAAAAACTGTTTTCTGAAGAAAGAAAAAGAGCACATTTACATACACAATAACATTTACGACACCTTCGTTCGGAAGATTCGACTTAGACAGTCGTACATCCATAACTACACAAATCAAAATTATTTTTTCTTTCAATTATGATTATGGCGCATATCTTAAAGTGAAATATGTGTTTTTAGAAGTGGTTTTATGAACATAAATATGAAAAATCCCGTCCATGAATAAAATATATACACGGAGTTTGAATTTCAGAAGAACACAGAAGGTGACAATAACTTAAAAAAAAATATAGTTTAAAAGAACTTAGCCAGAAATATTTTCCAAATTCTGATGGACACAGTATCTTATAGATTTACACTTAAAGTTGGTAAGCACTGTTTTGATCTTAATTTTTAAGTTGACAATTAACTACAGGCAAATAAGTTGAACTGAGAATTTTACTTTTGTGTTGTAAACACGAATGACAACAAAATGTGTCTAAGTGATTATGTGAATCATTAATGAAACCAGAACAAATACCGTTTTTTTACAGGTGAGCGCTGCGTTTAGATTCCCAATTCATATGAATTGTAGTGAATATGTCTTTGTATATATATGCAGTATATATGAAAATTCTGTAGTGTGAATTCATGAAAGTATGAATACAAATGCAATTGTAAATGTTACTTTTTGCCTACATAGAATGGCCAAAAGATTTTAAATAAAAATAGATTTGATAAATCAAAATGACTAAAATAAATAATGTTTCTATGAAAAATATTTGCATTAACAAACTAAAAATACAAAATTGTCCAAACCTTTAACTTAAGCAAAATATTGAGAACACAATTTAAATGTTACGTTATATAAAGACACTAAATTAAACTATACGAGATAAAACTGCATAAACAAACCACGTCTGGTGAAGACACGCGACAAAAATTCAAATTTGTTTCAATATTTCTAAATTGATAACGTACATTTTATAAAAAGGAACACCATACCATTACGCATTAAGGTTTAAAACTTGTCCCGAAACACTTTTATTATAAGCAATATAGAATCTGCCTATATAATACTTACGATTGCAAATTTTTCTGTATGGCATACTTGTGTCGTTACATTGATATTCAAAGTAAAGATATTTCTCCAAACCAGGACAAATATTCGAAGTAAAATGGTTATCATCAACAGTTATATTACATTCCTTTTCACCATCACAGTAATTTTTAAGGTCACATGTCACATCGACACTACAATTGTAATCAAAACTTGAGCCACAAATACTTCCGTTTCTCAATCCACGATATTCTGCAACTTTTATCACCATATATTGGTCATTAGGACATCTGACATTTGTTATATTTTGTCCAGCACATGTCACTGATCCTATAAAAGACACGCAAAAAATAAGTCAATTCCAATCTATACAAGCTTATTTGTGAATTCCAGTAAAATAAAACTTGATTTGATAAAAATGGAGTGTGTGATGGCAGTGACTTCACTGGCGCAATTCCTATATCTGCGGCCTCGCAGTGTCTTTTAATCAGAGTTTAAGTATATATACGCTAACTGGATGAATATTCTCACTTGCCAAAATTGAATCGCTGATCTTCTTCATTTTTACAACTGACAAGTTCCAATGAGGTATTTCCTGCTATACATTTATTATAGCGTGAAAACAATAGACCACCCCAAAATGTTTGGGTTATGTTATTCATGGCTCTGCATTGCCCATCAAAATTTCCATAAAATAACGACAAACGAATTCCGTATCCTCTCACAGGACAACGTTTTGTATTAAGCGTCATGATTGAGCCAGATTGTAAAAATTTAAAATTAGCTCTCATGTCAAAACAATTCCATGAAAGCTCCAAGAAAAACCAAGAAACATCATTAACACACTTTCCTGACTGAACATCTTTTATGAAAAACCCCTTCGTATCTGAAAAAGGACAATGATACATGATAAAAATGATTGAAAATATCACACACTACAAAGATATATATAAAAATAATATGACTTTATCAAAAATAATTTAGCATACGGAATTCTAACAATAGAGGAAAAAACACTCCAAAAAAAAGCCATCTTGAAATTCAACCTTTCTAAAGAATTAAATAAACCAATTACTGTTGAGGGTCATTTAAAAAATAATGGCGTATGCAGCACTTTAAGGCATTCAGCATGGAGCATTGAACTAAAATACATGGAACGCTACCTGTAATACAAAACCCTAATCATTTTTTAAAGCCGTGATTTTACCCCAGACACGCGAGACTTTTCTCCAGAAACGAGTGTGTAGTGAATCACTTATTACTCCTCGAAATAATCTCGAAACACTAAACGCGCGTGTTTTGAGTAAAATCTCGCGCCTGTGGCGTAAGATATGGCTTTAATTATTTGCCCGAGGTAGCGTTCCATGTATTTTAGTTTAATGGCATGGAGACAGAAAATTTTTACAAACAAGTAGAAAAGTTAAATGTAGATATGATCTTCGCACTTTGTTGGACAATTTAAGCAATTGTCTCATGAAACTGAAAAATTCAGGTGACTCAACGGGACTCGAACCCATGAGTTCGAATCCCGTTGATTCATGGGTTCGAATCCCGTTGAGCAAAGTAAAGCACTTGGAAGTCTCGACGAAGATTCCATCAAAATATTTCTTGTATTTAGAGTTGTCTCATAAAGAAAATTGCGTCATCTACAGATAATTTTTAATGTTTTAAAGATGACAATATATTGACAAGTATCTGAAGGCTCTTAGCCAATAACAATCGATATTTCATCACCGTTGTATTATAATAATAAAAATAACTAGCACAGATCAAAATATGAACACCTTAACCCTAACCCTCACACCCTCAGCAAACAACCAAAATCTTCTAACGTGATCGTTACTGAATAAAATCAATAAACAAAAAAATAACCAAGACACGCTCTTGAATTAAGCTTTTGCTCTTTAACAGGTTTACATTATAATAAATGCATTACGAATTAAACATGCTCGGCTTTTCCGGGCGTGTATTCTACTAGTTTTGCACTTGCAAAGAGATTTCACATAAGAGTTTATGTACATGATGAATTGAATATAGGTCAAAGTGCCGTATGGATTTGAGCAAAGTTGAATATGAAGCACTATAATCACATTGGTGCACTATAAATTAAACTGACACAGGAGTAACTAAAATGAACTGCCCTTGCATGTACCTTGTCGTTTTACGTTCACGTTGAGGACAACATAACAAGTGTGATTTTTTCCACCGTATAAAACATACTTGTAAGGGATTTTGTGTTGTCCGACCCAAAATATACCCAAAGATATAAAATATAACTTCTTTTCTATTCTTTCATTTATGAACTTATGTGAACACGTGAAGTTTTCTGGATCTTTCCCTTTTGCGAATGGAGAATAACGAGAATAACTATAATAACGATAATAACGATATCCGGACAATGACCCAGCAGTAACGTTCAAAATAATCGGGCTGCATCCACATGTCCCTAACAAAAATTAAAATATGTTTTACTGGTTGTCCAAAGAAAAAGAACAAGTGCAAAGTGACACTCTTTGGCTACAAAATGTTACAAACTATTCACATTGAATCGAAAGTCTTTGTTAAACCCAAATAAACAATAACTATACAGTCTATATAATATAACTGCATAAAATACTATTTTTGACTCTACTGTCATATTTTACTTTGCTTTTATAACTAGACATATTAATAATGAACGAGAGATTATGCTGCGTCAATGCTCTGAAGCTAGTGTATCCAAATCAGTTGAGTACTTTAACATGTACCTTACGGGCTTAAACCATTTACTTTATGTACCTTACTTTAATGCACTTTCTAAGAACACGGCTTCATACAGCGTTATTTAAATTAAACAGTACCTCAGTAATATAAGTGTTGTGATTGTTTGCCAAGTACATAGCCAGTTAATGTTCTGTAATTATTGTAAACTGAACTGTTGTTTACTTTACCTTCAAGTGGACATATTTCACTAAACATTTTAAATCGCTCTAAAAGATATTTCTTCTCCTCAACACAACAACGTGTACGAGTATTGTTGCATTTCGAATCGATTTCAATTTTGTCCGCCACAAATTTCTTCCATTCTTCCTCACAAAACTCGAGTTCTTCATTCCAACCCATTTTCATTGTGAATCCATGACCAAATAACAGCCACAATAACCACCATATCATTAAACTCATCATTGCATAGATCCAAGGATGTAGAGTAAAGTTCTAAATTATATTTGATTGTTGGATGTATGTACGTTATCACAGATGACTTTAAATTTATAATTTAGACCGACAATGACTACGTCACAATTACATCTGTGATGCAAGCAGATCACGATCAAAACGTATTTTTGAGCAATATATGAACATTATCTAAAAAATTCATTTCAGCAAAATTGTGCAGCGAGAAAAACTGTTCAGAAATAGATCGAGTTAGTTTCTTATGGCTGCATGATGACTCTCTCAATGGTAGCCATGGTAGCTATTATACAAAATTATTTACAGAACAGTGGAATAAGGTTTGTTTTTGATGTAGTTGAGAGATTTGAGCGAAAAATATAATAATATATATGAATCAAAATATGAATGTAATAACCTGTCCCAAATCTTACATTAAGCATGGAGGTATTGTGGTAAATGAAACTCAGTGAAAGAAAAAATTTGCAGTATTAAATATTAACATAGCATCGACGATAAAGAAACTTCCTTTTCACTATCAACTACATCACATCTTACCTTTGTTCTTTAATTGAAAAACGGACACAATAAGGCGACTGAAGAAATACACCTTACACAAGCAGAGAAAAATTAAGATACGTTCAAGTCAGACGAACAAAAGAGTTGTGGCTTTCGCAAGGTTTTACTTGCAACTGCTGGCAAAGGCTGTCGGCTTCCTCAAATGTATAGTGCCATATTGAGTATATACAAACACTCATGCCATCTGCCCCAATTATTCAACATTTTATAGAATTTGTTTTGCGTCAAATCCTATCCTTTACAAATTTACTATTATACTTAAAATGTTTATAAATTTGGATGCTGTTGTTGGTTGACAAAGCAATGTTATACAAGATAGAGTTTTTGATATTTTAGAGAATTACCTCTGTTTATAGCTACGAAGCAACGAAGCACAAATAATGCATCTAATGTGGGCAAACACGGCAAAACAAGTTAATGACTTCTAGTGCTTAATGACGAAAAATTATATTGTTACAATATAAAACGTATTTTAAGTTTTTGACTATCAACTTTACCAACAGTAAATTCAATTTTGCTGACAGTCATTAGCAAAATTTTAGGCCCTAAATACAACAAATTGTGTCTGATCGAACTATACATTAAAATTTACTACGTAATACCAGCTGTACCTTTATTGCCTACTGGTGTTTGTTTAAACGATGGACACAATACGACAGCGGCGCAAATACAGTGAGAAATGAGAAGAAAAACAACGCTTCAAGGAATAATGACTTCTTTATTAAATTATGTTCAAGCGATTGTGTTTAGCATAAAGAATCAAAAACAACATCATTTCGATATCAATTTTAATTTGATATATGAGAAACTTTTAGTTTATGCATTGGACGGCCACTTTGTGGGATATTATAACGAACTTAATTAAAACTAGATATGATGATTTTAATTTAGGCAATTTTTACAATTTTTTTCGTAGTATAGCTTTTTTAATTAGTTCTTAAGTGTTGTCCTTAAGTATGCGTTCTGATGTGAAGAGGTGCACCGAAAACATGTAGAAACGGATAAATTTCGAAATATCACATTAAAATTAGCTGTATTATAAGGCCTTTAGTAATTGTGAAGTCTTAAAGAGAAATATCGGATCATTTAATTATTTATGAGCAGATCGCAGGCTCGAAGAGCGAATAAACGAAATAGGTAATATAATAAAAGGTTTGTTATAAAGGATTATTTTAACTGAAACGAAGTTTTCTTTACTTTTTTGTCCTCGCTGTTTTGTAAAAGTTGGCATTCATACCTGTTTTATTTTTGTTTTCAAAATTTTTGCTATTTGCTTTTCGAAATTTGTTTACATTGGTAAAATTACCTGTAATGGCCGCCGACATGAATAGTTATTAATCAGAGACTATATATGGTCATTGCCCACATTAAGTCATTAACAGCATATGTAATAACATGGTTGCCTCGAGATCTTTTGTTATCACATAGACGTTTACTGACGTATTTCCTCATCATAATATTCATTAGGGACGTTTAGACTAAATATCCCGAATGTATGAATAGTAAAACAAAACGCGAATTCTTGGATTGCATCCAATCTTCAAGAAATTATGAAACAATGTGTCCCACCCACGTCGGGTGGTGTCAACAATGGCTTTGATAAGATATTCTTTTGTATTTGACCAGAAATATGGTGGCGTGACGTAACACGCAATCCACCTATATTATTTTCAAATTCCATTTACGTCATGTAGAATTTGCTTCAGATTGCATCTTCATTTTTCCACAAGTTGATCATTTTCAATTCTGCTCAATGAAAAAGGTTAACAGTTTGATATCTTCAGCATGTCCTTTAAAACACAATACTTCCAGTGCAAGTTCACTAAGTTGAAAGTCCTTTCGCTCGACTGTTGTTACTTCGTTAATTTAGCTACCTAAACAGACCATTGCTGAGAGCTACTGTAGTACTTGAGTTTTCTCATAGTGGGTAGGAATATTCTAATGATTCCAAAATACAAACCTCTTCCACAATGCCAAATCGTACATCCAGTGCCTACGTATACAGAGGAGTCTAATATAATGATAGCCATTGGTAATAACCAAGAGGACAGACTGAGTAAACATATTTTTACATGAAGTTGAGTTTTGATTTTCCTCTCATAAAGCTAAGTTTTTTGTTATTTCTCTATAAATTACAATCATTTATAAATAGGTTCGATGAACAAATCAAACGATTGTTAAGCTAACCTATAGATTGAGAGATGAAAGAAAGCAGTCACCGTATAGTGTTTGCTTTAAGTATGTGATTAATTTAAATTTAAATTTAAATTCAGAACTATTTTTGACTTGCAACCATTCTCTTGAGATTTACCAAACAATGTTGCTCATCCAAGTCGGCTGGTGCCAACGATAACACTGATAAAATATTCATTTCTATCATACCGCCAACATGGCTGAATTGCAAGTCAAGAATTCACTCTTATCAATGTTGTCAGTAGATGTCGAATAACTTCAACACGCATTTTACTGCACGTTCGAGTACAAGAGTTTAGATTAATCCTAACGAACAGCAAATACGACAAGAATAGAAACCAACCAGGAGCTACAACTTCACTAGTAAAAGCAGCATAATTTCTACCGTTTATAGGATATAAATGAATGACAAAGATGAATTTAATAAACATTGAGTGAGCAGGAGGCGGACAAAAAAAGCAACTGAACTATAAATAACACGTGATTACTTGAAGATATCAATAGACTACTTGATATTACATGACGAGAAGAAACTGTTTTACTTGGGGTTCGTCTGATCATATTCTTAGGAAGTGAAAGCTCATACATCATAATCGTTGGTGTGTGTTCCAACTAATAAAAACTAATGAATCGGAGAAACTCGTGATAGGGTTGGCTATATTTTCATATCTAGAGTCGAGATTCTCTGAATGATATTCTGTACTTCTGTATTTGTAACAAGTTGATATCTTACTCTTAATTCGATCATAATTTAAACGCAAATGTAAATTTTAACCGCGTTTAATGTTACGAAATTTTGGTACCGACTACCTAGATCAATCTTTCGGTTGGTGTTGCGGCCAGTGTTGAAAAACAAGGAGAGGGGTTGACAACAAACTATAGGAGAGGATATGTTTTTTCATCACATGAATTTTTCTTGTTTTGTAAAGACTTGTGTCGTTGCTTCCAACCCATTTCTTCTTTTTTGTTGATCTCTAATCTACAGCCAAACACAATGCTCGTAGCAAACTTGCAATAAAATCATCAGAAAATTCAATAAATTCGATAATTTTGGATGAGTTTAAAATGAATATTATTATGGGGATAATAAGCCAAAACAGGAAAGGACAAGAACAGCAACATTATACTAACACTAACATAGTTGGTAACAAAGTAAACTCCATCTACTAAAACTTCCTGTTTCTTACGTCAAGTAAATTAACGAGATGACTGTGCGCACATATTCATACATACTTCACTGACTCCAAAATACATGAATGTATGAAAAGTCCCTCCCCTCAAGAAGAAAAAAATACTGAGCTTGCTTCGCCACTGTTTATCTGTAATTTTACTTTATTTCTTATTTAATGTATTTAGATAAAAAGTATAACAGCCGTTATCCTATTTCAAATATTGACTTCATCCTTATTCTAAAAATTTGATGTTATGTTCCAAAGTGTTTTCAAATACTGTTTAGAATCATTCACTCTCGTTCACTCTTATAGTTAGAAAGGAAATAAAATTTTATGTTAAATTACATTCTTTTATAATACGCTAAATTTCTAGACGCTAAAACGTCTAATAATTTCTCCAAAAAAATTCAACTCCCCTCATTTTTTTAAAAATTTTAGTAGCCGTCAAATGATTATAGTGAAGCCTACAGCGAAGGTTGTCAATACTCTGGTTATACGGTTGATACACTATGGTGACTATATGATTGGTTGATACACAAGGGTGATTATATGATTGGTTGATACACTATGGCGACTATATGATTGGTTGATACACTATGGTGACTATATGATTGGTTAATACACTAGGGTGATTATATGATTAATTGATACACTATGGTGACTAAATGATTGGTTGATACACTATGGTGACTATATGATTGGTTGATACTCTATGTTGACTATGTGATTGGTTGATACACTATGGTGACTATACCTGGAGAGTTATGTTACCCGGTGGTAAGATTCTCACACGAATCGCATTCAGCCTTCCGGACACGTGATCCTGTAAACGCGTTTTAAAGCTGTAGAAATCAGTCAGTCGACAAAAAAATCTCAAAATGCATCTTTTTTCACGAACCTCAACGACACTGAACTCCACTTCATCGGAAAAGTTGATTTCTTGTTCCTATGGAAAATAAAACAGCAACTGCATCACGACAATAATTGTGAGACGATCATACAATAACTAAGGCTTTAAAGTAGATCGTCCACGTTCGAGAAATCCTGAGAAGGATTGTTGTTGTTGATGTTGACTGACGTTTCGACAACCTAAGTGTTAGTCATCTTCAGAGTGAAGCCTACAGCGAAGGTTGTCAATACTCTGGTTATGCGGCTGACAGTCAACACCAACACCAACCGAACTTCCCAGAAATTCACAAACCTAGACGATCTTCATCTACAAACATTTAACGATACTTTAAAGTAAAATCAGCAAAGCTACTTTCTCCATCGATTTATCTTGACATACTTTCACTGGCACATATCGAGCTTTACGTAGCAAACTCTGTTCTAACGTGGTTGGAAGAGGTTGATTTGAAAGGTTTTTTGCTTACGATTGCCATAATAAAAAAACTCACCGCATCAATTAACTCGCTGAAATGAAAAAATAATCTTTTATCCCTATCGCAACACTGAATGAAGCCATAGCCGTCTTTCAAAGCCGAAACAAATCCCTAACAAAGAACAAAAAATCATGCATTTAATCATATTACACCAACAACAATTTTTACATAGATCTTTAAGAAGGAAACGAATTTAAGTCGATTCTGTGCACTATAGTTACAAATCGACATTCATAAAATAAAAATGCCCAATGGCAATGACCATGGAGCACAATGTTAGCGTTGTCGAAAATAAAAGATCTCCCAACAAAATATGAGAGATTGAAGACAGTAAAATATTTTGGATAAACCTTTACTTTCAACGATATA